TTAGCTTAGCTTAGTGTAAAAACTGGAAACAGGGAAATATGGAAATATTCAATATTTAAAATATGAAAATATCTGTCTTTGACCTTTTTTTAAAGCAGCCATTTTGACATGAAATAGAGTAAAGACAGGTCTTACCAGTAATACTGATTAAGGTTCTGTTCCATTCAGGTCAAACAGTCAGTGCTGCTATTGTGCATGTTGGCTCACTGGAAAGGCTCTGCAACAATAATTTGTCTCCCTCAATATTCAGTGTTAAACCAACTCGAGAATGCAGAGTGATCACTGAACTCCTCCTGTTACATGTTGGTGTACATGTCAACCAGCAGCACTGAACACAACAGCTTTTCACGCTGCAGCCTTGTATTAACCTGTCAAATGAGAGATGTATTAATACTATATACCTCTTATCATACAGTACACTGGCTGTGAAAGAGGTATTACATTAAGATCACACTGCCTGTTTCAAAGTGTATCTACAAAGCAGTCAGTGTTACTATTGGGCTTGTAATGCAAAGGTAATGGTATTCTGGCAACAGTCTTGTCAGTGCCTAAAATGGTTTGAGATTGAGGCGGAAACCAGTGTTCAACCTCGAAATAACACTGCATTAAACAAAAATCTGCATGGTGGGGGCGTGTTGCTACAGGTACCAGCTAGACGATGAATAATCTCCAGGACAGCTGGTTTAAGAAGTGATACATCCGTGAATTTGAAGGATTATCAGCTGCCAGAACACTGCTATAATGTTTTGAACAGGACTCAGCACAGCGTTCATTCTGCAGTTTCAATGATAATATGGTAAACAAGGTAATTTACAAGGATTGCATAGTTGGACATATTTGATCTACCATTGCAGTGTGTTGCCAGTAGGGCTGCCTCCAGCTAAAGATTTTCCTAGTTGACTATTAGTCGTTAGTTACGGCCAAAAGTCGACTAGGCGTCACACATTTGTGATATTAATTTAACCACATCTATATATTTTATCAGCTGCCAGGAAAATACTAATGGCATAATGATTCTGAATGTGTAAGGAGACTGAAGATTTAGTTCAGTCGTGGCTGTGGCTCAGGAGGTACAGCAGGTTATCCACTAGGTTGGTGGTTCGATCCCCAGCTCCTCCTGCTGTATGGCGTAGTGTCCTTGAGCAAGACCCAAATTACTCACAATGCTGTTTGCCGTGTGTGATGGCCTTTGCCATCAGTGTATGAATGTGTGTGAATTGGTGAATGTGGCATACAGTGTAGTGTACAGTGCTTTGAGGGGTAGAAAGTAGACTAGAAAGGCGCTACCATATTCAACATAGTATAACGTCACACAAGTCTTGCTCAAAACACGCAATTATAAGCTCCAACTTCACAAAAACAAATACTTGCAGACTTATCAATACGATGGATGATGTTGACATTAACAGTAACTTAAAAATAAACTTGTTTCTATCCTGTTTTATGCCTCTCCTGTCCTTGTCTGACCCCACTGTGTCTATCCGATGAATAAAAAGTGGGTCCATTAAGACTCTTCTCAGCGACTACTGGTTTACTTGACTATTAGGGGGCACCTATGGCAGAACAACTTGCAATTGCATTCCACCCTTTGTTGAGCCAGGTTAACTTTTTTGCTGATGACCCTGTTTTTTTGGATAAAACCAAGAGTATATATCCTTACAGGCTAAACAACACGAGGTAGTCCCTCTGGCTTACAGTACAGACAGCCACCCCTAAAGTGCCAAACATTTAGGATCATAGTTCGTTGATCTTTTCACACAGACCACTTCCTCTAGCCCTGTTAAGGAGGCATAGAGGAAGATATCAGACGAGCTTTGGGAAGAAGGGTTCGATAGAATTAGGTACTAAACTGGTGCAGATCAAGCATATGCATTGAAAATGCTTTTCAAAAACTGAGCTGAATAGGATTTAGCATGCATTTCATGCTATAACACATACAAACTGAAAGACCAGACTTTGACTCATCAATTTTGGTTGTGCACTAAATTAAAGAAGTTCTTGAAGAAAATATTCCAATTGCTCAGTCTAATAACTGGAGAAAGAAGTCACCCTTCTCTGTGCTCTTGCCATAATGGGTTGCTCCGAGTGGGCCCTTGAGCTACCATATGAGACCCAGCAGGCCCGCGTGTTTGGTATGCTTACTGCCAGAAGAGCTATTCTGAGCGTGGATATGAACCTCCCCGCCTTGCTTTAGGAAGTGGCTCAATGATACAGTTTCCTGTTTATATTTAGAGGAGATAAGCTTCTTTTCAGCTAGCGCTCAAACTTAAGTTTTTACAGATTTGTGGAGCAGGATCAAGATGACACTGGTGTAAGCCATCTGATGTGTTTGTGCCCCAGTAAGTGTGCTTCGTTATATAATTAAAGATAGACAATCTAACTTTTTATAGAAGAAATAATTCATTCTTCCTGTTACTGAGGAAAGGTTGAATCAATAAGACACAGCAAACACTCAGAGGCTTTGTTGCTTACTTAGTCTGGTATGACCACTAGCTCAGTGCGTCTCAAACTTTTTCCATTTATATACCTATGTCTTACTCCACCATAGGTGTCTGATTTATTAAGACAACCACTTAAATTCCTCATGATTCTTCAAATAGAGAATCCATCATCAAAAACTAATGGCAAACCACTATTTGTCATTATATAACGCAATAACACTAAGACGCCATTGAAGTAGCATTGAACTGCATCTCTTTAAGTTACAATTCAGTGAGAAACATGAGGTTGCTCTTCACTGAGGATCGTTGTCATTGTCTGTGGCAGGGAGGAAACTGCAGTGATCAGACTTTTCCAGAGGCTTTACTGCACTTGACAGTTTACTGCACATTTAATGTAAAATATGTTTTAACAAACTTAAATTTGCATTTAGCTTATTATTTATTAATTGTGCAATACTGATCATTTTTTATTTATTTATTTTTTTAAATCTCACGTACCCCCTACAGTACTCCAAAGTACCCCTAGGGGTATGTGTAACCCCTTTTGAGAAAAACTTCACTAGCTAATGTTTACAAACTTATAGATCAATTTTTATTTTTGTTTTTTGTTATTTTATTTAACCTTTATTAATTAGGCAAGACATCAGGGACAAATTATTTTTTACAGCAGCAGCCTGGCAAAAGGCTAGGGAAAGGGCTAGGGGTAGTGATTGAGGTAGATAATAATTCCTGGCTTACTCTTCCATATTAACTGTTGTTGATACCTCTGTCCAGCACTTCAGCATGTCTCTTCGGTGTCTTTCTTTCCAGTGAGAGAACCCTATTGTGGTGAAGACAGAATTAGCTATCCCACACTTTCAGCACCTGAAATGAAATATTGCATCCTCTTTGACACTGTATTCAGCCATTCCCCACAGTTATCATGGTTGACACAGGGAGCATTTTTGTCCCTTCTTCAACACAGAGCAGACCACAGAACTCCCAGATTGAAGCAGGAAGGAGGAGCAGGAGGAGTTTTGCGAACATCCCGTATATTGTTCCCTCTTCTTCTCCACGTTGATTTGTGGAAGGCATTGCTGTTGTGCTTTTGTCTACTTAACAAACTCCTTTCTATCGTAGCCGGCTGCATAACTGCAAGGTGCACTGAACTTGCAAGTAAGTGGTGCATTCACTAAGCAGGAAACAGGTGTGAGGTGCACTAATGGAAAATGGCTTCAATTACAGTCTGTAAAGAAAGCACATTTTGATGTATAGCACACTAAAATGTGTCCTGCAAGTTTTCTTTTTCCTTTTTCTTCTTTTTTCTTTTTTCTCTTTACTTGTCATATATTGCTTTAAAAAACCCTGTCTCTGCATAAACTAATAAAAACATCATTTTGGTTATGGTTATTTAGCCCCCAAAATTATCCATTGTAAGCCGTGACCAATCCCACCAATATTTGCCATAGTGATACGCTGCTACTGCTCTTCCACAAGTCACCGACTCAGATAGTTTCAAAAAATCCATTAGAAGCATGCTCAAGGACAAAACGCTGCCTTGACTAACGTCATGTAGAGCAGCGTAAGTATTTCAGGTCTTCTTAATATAATACTTTACTGCACAACTAATTAGAAATTTAATGAGACTATTTTTATATTTTTTTTCCCAGAAATCCCCACAGAAATGTTCTTCTAATGGCAGCAAGATGGTAAAAGAAAACTTTTAGCTGGAGATGCAGTGCAGCAAATTCTTCCCATGACAGGAGATTAAGGTCTTATAAAAAAAAAAGGGACATCATTTAAAAAGGAGTGATTGATCACGTGTTTATGATCTGCTTGGTATTGTTTTTGAAAGCAGACTTCCAGGAAGACACATAAGCTTTTCATCACATTAAACGGTTAATCATGCTAGATTTTAACTGGTTATGTAACGGTCTCAATTTAATACTGACGCCTCTATATGACCTACATAAACAAACAAGAACATCAGCGAGTAGATTGGATATTTCTGTATAGGTGTTCTTAATGTGTTCAACTGGGTCGGATTCCCCTTGAATTCAATTATACGAGGCAGGGAAAACACTACTGCTTTTGTCCACAGGGGTCGCCAGAATCAACATACATTGAAAGTTCCATGTAAGGGCTTTAGAATGATAACACAGCCATGCTTTAACTTGTTACAAATCTGCACACCGCTGCATTGTTTACACTTCACTGTTGTCTCTTTGCAGGGTTTTTGACTTTTAAAGTTCAGACAGTGAAATTATATAACACACAATGAACCTTAAATAAATGTTGGTGGGTCCAGCTTTGTGTTGACAAAGTGCTGACTCATTACTGGTTGGGATATGCAGTTTGTACTTTGCTCTTTTGTTTGCTCATCACTTGTTGTGGGTGTCTAAAACCAACAAGAGAATAAACTCATGCAAATAAGATGAATCAACAGCATCTCACAACCTCTGTGGTTTAGACTGCTAACACAAGTAACAGCCTGGTATACATTATCCACTTATCAAGCAGCGCATTTTGTGCTCTTCATGATGGCTGACAGCAGATAAAGGAATTACTGAAAGGAGAATGTTTCTTTAAATAAATATTTTATTTGAAAATAAATACATTTTCTTAAAATATAATCAATAACATTACAAAAGCTTTGGGGAAGTGGGAAAGGAGTAGGAGGGAGGGAGGGAGGAAGGGGGGTTACCCAAATGAATGATGTGTAATTTTGGAACAAGGAGTACAATCTCACACGTTTATCTACCATCTTAAGACAAGTTCCCACAATGCGTTGTACTGTACATTCTCAGCTGCATTGTGGGAAAGTGGTGGCATCCCTCACGCTTGCTTTAACATGCAGTCTACTTGGTCTTAAAGCTTCAGGCCCTGCACCCAAAAAAACCACTGGTACACTCATACTGTATCTACACACTCGTTTGTAAAAATGAAGGATATAATCTTTTTGTCAACACATTAAAATCAGCCACTGATTTACATTTACATCTGACAATGTTTTTCGAAAGTACCTTAAATGTGTCTAGATCAACTTCACCTCTAGTCTACAGTACAAAGATACGATACACAAGAAGGCTGCGCTTATTGATATAGCAGTAATCAGAGGCCACTGTCTCGCTAAGGCCAGAAGTATTTCCATTTTAACTATGAGGTTGTGAGTTCGTCTGGCTGCAGTTTGCCAGGCAGAACCGAGCGGGAACTCTCCGGCACTTTTCTGCCTTTTACGACAGCGTTTCAATGCCCATTGTTTGACTCGAGATGGCAGATCTCCAGAGAGACAGGGACAGCAGCACAGTTGTATTGGAACAGATTAACACAGCGCAGCAGTGCAGCCCTGACCCCTCTAACAGCTCTACAAATAGCCTTACGAGTGCAGGAAGTTCTCCCTCAACCAGCCCGCAGCGGCAAAAAGCAGCAACCTTGACAAAAACATAATTACCAACTGCGCAAAAAAAAAGAAAAAGAAAGCGCCACAGAACATGTCCGCTTTATAATTATTGAGACACTGGAGAATGTGCAAGCCGACCTCAATTAAGACAAGCGTGTGAGAACATGTAATTTAAATCTAATCAGTAGAAAAGCAGCAGAGTAAGCTAATCTATGGCGAAAAACAACAACTTTGCACGCTTTGTGCTCTTCGCTCGCTCCTCGTGCCCGAATGAAATCAATGCCACAGGTAGCGGCGGCTTTAAATAATGATTAAACTAAGTGCTGCTGGGGAGTGCTGTGTCCACACATTGTGTCCACACATCAGAATCTCTCCTCCCCCCCTCACTCCCCGCACAGCCTCCAATCACCTTCAGCGCACTGGCCGATGGTTTAGGGGAGGAGGCGCCATTCGATGGGTTTTAAATGCCTCACTGCACTGACCGCACGCACAGACGTACACAAATAACACACAGTTGCAAATTCTGCAGTCACGCACTTTTTTTTAAGCTTTTTTTTTACCAATCTTGTTTTAGAAAAAAGTCCCACCTCAGATCAAGACCTTCCCCCTCTGATGGCTGCTTTTTTAGTTTGGCTTTTCTTAGATCTTGCAATAGGCCACAGTAAAGGTGTTTCTCATGCTAACAAGGTTCTCCCTCTCCAACAATTCTTGCAGTTCTACTGAGCAGTAAACCCAAGATTTACTTGCAATGAGCAGCTAAATGTGTGCCTTGGAGCGGAGAGACTTCCGAACCGTTACCTACAGATAAACGCTTCGTTTAAGCCAACACTCTAAGCAGTGCGCTACTTTGCCAATGATTCAATCGCAGTTAATTAGCAGGGAACAGATGCGATACATTTAATGATTTCAGATTTTATCGTAGTCAGGTAAACAACACTGAAAGAATCAGTGGAGCACAATTTACCTGACCAATCCAAGATAAACCCCATGGCAGGAATGCTGCACAACCTCACTCTCCTGCTCTTCAAGGAAATATTTATTATTTTATTTTTGTAGGAACTCAGTTTTGAAGAGCCAGCCTTCAATATGCACACAAATTGTCAGAAAAAGAAAAAGCTGCTTAATCCCTTCATCCTTGTATAAACAAATTCAGACGACAACTTTTTATAAATTTGTAAAACGTCTGCTACTATTTGAAGGTGTCATCAGAGATAAAATACATTTGGAGATGCCCCAGAATCTAGCAGACCCACATGGACAGTCTCTTCAGGCGTTCCCTCATTGTGTTTAAGTTTACAATTATCCCAAAGCCTTGGCACTGCAGGCACATGTGCTGAGGGCCAGATGGGTACAGATGGAGCCCGCTGCATCAGGATGCCTCAATTTGGCCAAAGACGACAAATCTCGCTGGCACAGGCTCAAAGAAGAGAAACCTGGTGCTTTTGCTGCATTTTTCTCTCATTATAAATTCTTCATCAGCTCGCAGGCAGGTCAGTGTGAGGGCGTACTAGACACTGTCAAATACACAGACACAGAAACACCCAAACAGAACAGAGAGATTGTCTCCTCTCGCTGTGCTACTGTGACCTCTCAGTCATTCTTTGGGGTGTCCAGTCCAAACAAACCGAACCAGCTCCTGGCCGCTTCGCTCAACAGCTCACCGTGCTCGGTTGCTGTTTGCATACAAAGTCCGATATGAAGTCAAACTCATTCTGTCCCAAGAAGAGTTCGGGCAGCTCCTTAACACGATCCAACCCAAACTCTAGCACCAGTGAGGTCAGAACCTCCTCGTCGATCAGATCCATGTCCATGCCGTTTGGCCCCAAAGGGCCGCCGATGTGCTGCATGCCTGATAGTTGGGCCGGACCCACCCGGTACTGTGCTCCGTTGGGCAGGTGGTGGCCGTTGGCTGAGCCCAGCGGGTGTCCATGGTACTGAGTGTTGAGTTTTTGCAGGTGCATGCTGGCCATGAGCTGTTGAGAGGTGAGGTTACCAGGGAGGTACTGTTGCGGGTGGCCGCCCTGTTGCTGCTGCTGCTGCTGCTGCTGCTGCTGTTGTTGTTGTTGTTGTGTTGTTGCTGCTGCTGCGCTGCTGCTGTGCTGCTGCTGGGGTGTGTTGGTGCTGGCGCTGCGTGACCCTGGCTGTTGTACATCATGTTCCCAGACATCATCTGGTGGTGGTGGTGGTTGGCCATGGAGCTCCATTCACCGTGGGCCGGCCATCCATCCGGGTCCACCATGCCCTGCCGCTGCCTCGATTGACAACCTCCATGTTGTTCTGGGGAGGGTTTCCTGCCATACGTGCATCACACTGGCCGTTGGTGCAGAGTGCGCAGGCCGGGCTGGCCTTGTGCTTGCGGGAGACCGTTC